GACTCAAATGGGCTTTGATGTCTGGCTGCGGCTTTGATCCCAGACCCTCAAGTGGTGGTCATCACCCCAACTCAAAGGATTGCCCTTTACTTTTTTTCCTCCTATTTGGAGACAGCTTTTCCCAATTACATCATTTGTGTTTGTTTGGCCATAAAAGCTGCAAGGCATCATTTTGTTGCTTTTCTCTATAGCAGAATGTGCAACTGATGCTCCTTACTTTGCTTGGCTGCAATAGAATGTTCACTGATGTATAAGGCATTTGTAGAATGATGCTCCGACTTTGGTGGGGGTGCTCTTAGGAGCTGTTCTGCCCAAGGGCAAAGTGTCAGACTGTGTGATCTGAGGGACTCTTCCTGGCTCTACCCAGGAAATATCTTTAAGCACAAGCTACACAACTGTAATATATTCAACAAAGACTTTCTCATGCCGGCAACCTCATCTTACTTTCCAGGTCCTTCAGGCAGCAGATCCACCTCATCTTTAGTGCCACACTTTGAGTGTCCATTAGCAGTTTTTCTGAGAAGATAGAGGCCTCCAGGGAAAGAAAAGAACTAAGGACGGCTGAGCAATACTAGAAAGGAGATAATGAAGTAGCACTAGTGCAGGAAGCACCAGCACCTGCTTTAAAAAGAAAGGGAAAGAAAAATCAGAACAGTAGGTGGAAGTGAGATCCTGTTAGCAACAGAAGGGAGCAGTGGGTGACTACATTCAACTGCCTCCTGAATACCTGCAACCAAAACAAAGAATCAAAGAGGAAAGAAAATCTAGGGAACTAGACTGGAGAGGAGGAAATTTGGCTGTTAGGTTAAGAAGAGAATAGGGGCAACCTCGCCAGTCTCACTTAATCTGATGACATTGGGAGTTTTCCTGGAAAAACAATTACAGCATTGAGCTCCTTCCTTCTAACTTCATTTGACAGCCCAAGTTTGTTTTAATTGGCATGTGAATGAACAGCATTATTTATTAATGTGTAATGGATACTTTGGAAAGCATAACCTTTCTTTCCCATTTGTGACCATTTTATTGGCGGAACCATCTGAATACATTAGTTTTAATATTTAAACTTGCTGGGAACACTTTTTCATGGAGATGTACAAGCTGTTATGGCAAATGGTTTGCTTTGGACTAATGAGCCAGCTCAAAGTGGCATTTGGTGGGGAGGGGGGTGGGAAGGTGGGGAAGGTTTGGAGACATAGCCACTTGTCTGTCTGCTCTAACAAGATTTATTAGTAGTGTGTAAAACATGTTTCAGCTTTTTTCTCCCTCAACTATATAAATATAGTTGTCAATGTGTGGCATAACACACGCCACAATAATAGACTCCACCCAGCCAGCAGGAATCTAATTCAGAACTAGAAAGCAAGAAGGTTGGTTAGAAATGAGTAGAATGAAACAATGACAGAGGACATGGGTGAGTGGCAATTGGCAGGCAGGATAAGTCATTACTTTTTAGTGCCTTACTAAAATTAGGGAGGAAAATTTTCAAGTAGTGTATTTTCAAGCACAGAATAGACATAAAGAATAGATAACCTGAATAGAATTGATTTGTATGCTTATGAACACCTGAATGTAATTCCATTTTTTAGAACTAATATACAATCTTGTTAATTATGAATCAAGACTGCAGTTATAGTTCCTTTCATGTCTGTGGGAGGCAGCATTGGGGAGGAGAACGGAGCGGGCAGGGGAGCTCTTGCTTTTGTTTTCTTGGTAAATGTCGACTTAATTCCACTTGTAGTAGAGATTAAATGGGTACTATTAACTTTAAAAGTTAGTCAAAAAGTATGTTAATGAAAAAACAATTTACAACCAATCTGCATTCTCTTGAGTCTCTCTCTAGCAATTATCAGTTGAATGCTTGCAAGACACTGTTGAATACAGTGATACTTAGAGGGAATTAAAACAGTCCCTGTCTTCAGGGAGCTTTTATAATGTAGTTGGAGAGAAGCGATACACATAAACACCTACCTACATAGATGTGTGTGTGTAGTAACAATACAAGTAGAATGTGGTAAGGACCAGATACTTCTATAGTTAACTAGAGTTCAAAGGAGGGAAGCGAGTGAACTGGTTTCGGAAGGAAGGTTAGACCACACAGAGAGGGAAGAAAAGAGGGAGATTTCCTAGCAGGGGTGAGCGGCTGGGCAGAGGTGTAAGAGTCTGAAATAATGATATAGGATTCACTAACTCATACAACGCTTTGCCTGGACTTCAGCAAATTGTGACTTGTTGGATTCAACTTCTGAGCCTCTTGGATGTACCGCTTTAAAAATATATATGGCGCTTTTCCGTAGTCAGCCAGCAAGTGGCATTTCCAGACCCCTATCCCACTGAAATTCCCTGTGACCAGTGCGTCAAGCAGAAACGACCATACCACAAACGATACCTCAGGGGAAAGATTTATATTATAAATCCCTCTGGAGAAAACAGAAGCTATAACTCATATAACCCTTTAGATAGTAACCAGCCACGTTGCAAACGCACACCCTCCACAAATATATATTACATGCTTTATATTAATATGATTGCCACAACAGGCAGATTCAGTTAGTTGCTCCTTTTACCGTCGGGGAAACAGAGGCACAGAGAGGGCACACAGCCATTCATGGCGGATCTGGGATTCAAACGCAGACAGTCTGGTTTCAGAGTCCGAGCCCTTGTGAATGCAGACTCAGTAATAAGAAACTCAAACAAAAACGGGAGCGCGCACGCGCGCGCCTCATCAACGCTAGGCTTGTGAAAGCATTGATGGCAGCGCTTGCTGTGCAGCGACGTCCTTCTGTTTTCCAATGCCTACCATTGTAAGACTTCCGTTCAAAAATTAAAATAGCAAAACTTAAACAGTTTTAGAACAACACTGCCTTGTGTTTGGTATCGCTTGCCTTTACCCATGGAGTTAAAAAGCCCAACCCACAGACACCGTCCTTGGTGCACTCGCAGCCCCTCGCTGGGGAACGTGACAGCCGGACGGGCGTGAGCGGCTGTGGAGAGCGGACGTGCGGGGCAAGGGTTAAGGTCATGTGCTGCGACTTGGGCGAGTTTCAGAAAGTTCTCTGGGGAGTCCAACTGCCGCGTCCCTCGGCGGCCCCTGCCTGCGACAGGACGCCGGTCCCGCCGAGAGGGGACAAAAGCCGAGGAGGGGGCTTGCGGCGTGGTTAACTGTCCAACGCTGAGTTTTACGATGACACTGAAGCGCCGGTCGGGAGCCCTGCCTCTCCCGGGGCTCTCGCCAGCGTGCCAGCTTTCACCCGCGCTGGTGCTTAATTTCGCATAGAAGCTCTTTGTGCAAGGCAGCTAAAACTAGATGCAATGATGGAAATTTGGCTGGAGAACGTGCTCCCTCCTCTCATATTTTATATGTTCTGCTAGCTGTGATTACTGATGGAGGTGGGAGAGAACCTGCTCTCAGGGAACATTTATCTTATTGGATTTCTGTCAGCATCTCAGTCATTCTACGCAGTCTTCATTAATGGGGAAGAAAAAGAACTTGGGGGTTTGATGTATTGATGAACAGCTTTGACCCCGCCTCAGAATAATGGCGGCAGCTTTGTTTCAGTGACCTCAAAATGTAGTTTTGGAAACAGCAAAGATCCTTACCTGACCATGTGACACTGTCTGAAACTAGACACATGCTAGATAATGGCCCTCCTACAATAAAGTGATGATGCTGTGTGGTTGTCATGTGTTTTCTCGTATTATCTCTTTTCAGATCATTTTTGTGTGTTTTTTTTCCCTTGAGCATCAATGTGCTTTTATTTGTGAGGTTCATTTTTCCTGAAGAAACTCATTCTAGCAAACAAGCATATGGTTTATGTCTCCAAGCTTTTAAGTCAAAAGACAGACAAGAGGAGATTGTTCATATGCATCTATTTTGTAAGGATGTTTGCTGTGGTTTGTGCAATATACCTCTGTTTTGGCATTTTACTGAGTTTCTTTAGTAACAGACCAGATTTGCATGTAGCATTGATTTGAGCCAGTTCTCACTGGTTATGCCTGGTTATTTACATTTCATGCATTGTTTTGTACAATAGCACCTTTTTGTCTTCATGAATCTTGAGATTGTGAGTGGTGCATTCCTATTGTCCGCTGGAGGGGAGCAAGGCAGTATGTCAAGAGAATTCCAGTCCAGTCAGTGTTTATGGTACTATTTTCATTTGTAGACTTGGCATTCATGATTTGAACCAGATGCCTTTCGAGTTCTTTCGCTTTTCCAGCAATAGGGAGCACTAGGTGGCAGTATGAGTTAGCACAACCAGTCACCTTTGGAAACCCAGCAGAGTTCAAATCTTGATGGGCCTTCCCTTGAGGGTTTTGGATTCTGCCAGCTCACATTATGCATGGCACTGGCTATTAGTATTAGTTTCTCACTTTCAAAGGCCCTAAGACTGATTAAACGCCACAAAGCAAGTGATAGAAAACAAAACTCTGCAGGCCAAGACATTTGGCCAGAAAATCTCACCTGAGAAAGATTATAGCGTATTGTAGGAAATCTGTTACTCTGACTTCAAATTATAGAGTCTACTGTGAAGTACTGTTTTTTGCAGGCCAAGACATTTGGCCAGAAAATCTCACCTGAGAAAGATTATAGCATATTGTAGGAAATCTGTTACTCTGACTTCAAATTATAGAGTCTACTGTGAAGTACTGTTTTTTTAAAAACTGGCTGTGCACCAGATAATTTAAAGTCTCAATGCATTTTTGTTGTCCCTACCTATAAAACATCAGTTTGTATATATTAGTTGAAACTAAAAGCAAGTCTTGTCTTTATGAAGAAACTTTGTATCAAACAAAATGTGAGAAAGCAGAATTAAATATAGGATATATTCTTGAGTTCTTAAATTTTTTCTTTATTTCAGATCATCCAGTAAGATTTTAGTTTTGGAAAGTGTAGTGAACTCTTCAGATTGGTAATTTGAATACTTAGAGCAGACTTAGGTGGTTTTTTGGTCACCAAAGTGTGTTCATTTTTCCTTTCTTTGTTTCTTCCTAATCAGAATTGTTTGAGGAGAAGAGATGCTGGTTTGTTGAATCAGTTGCAGGAGCTGGACAAGCAGATAAGTGACCTGAAACTGGATGTAGAAAAGACATCAGAAGAGCACCTGGAGACAGACAGCCGGCCTAGCTCAGGTGAGTGTGTGAGCCCAAGAATGGAATTCTGCACTCATGAGTTATACCTCAGCCCCCTGCGGTTAACATTCCCAGACCTGCAAATGGCAATGGAGTTTGTTTCACTGCAGAGAGAGAGAAAAAAAGCCATCTGCCAGTCAGTTGCATGAAAGGGAAATAAAGTCAGACAAAAACATTTTTAATAATGATATTGATTTGACTGGAGTCCCCTGAGTTTAAAAATAAAAGCTTCTATTCAAATTTCTGGAAGATCAGCCATCCTTTGAAACTTGAGAAAGTCAGAACCGGGCTAGAAAATTAGTCACACTTCAACTTCCTGAGACCACTTCAAAAGTTTTTTTTTTCCTTTTAAACCATTTGGCTCCTTAAAAAGAATTGTTTTTCTCTTAAAGTTATTTCTTTTGAGAAACATTCATGGTAAAGTTGAAGCTTTGATGGATCTAAGTTTCTTTCCTTGCATATCTGTAAAGGTGGATCAAGGAGGAAGGTCAATATGAGGGTGAGAGTAACTTTGAAATGTACCCATAGTTATGGTTATGGACTCTTTGCCATTTCCTAAGACTGTTTGAAATAAAACCATAAAATCAGGACACTAAAATCCAGTGAACCAAAATTGGCCAAAAACAACAAACCCCCCTCAACCCCCAAAGACTCCCTTTCCTAGGTGAGGACCCCTTTTCCTTTTAAGCATAAATATGTATTATTCTTTGTCATGATCTTAATTCCTATGGTGTTTTTATTTGTAGGGTTTTATGAGCTGAGTGATGGGGCTTCAGGATCCCTTTCCAATTCCTCTAACTCGGTGTTCAGTGAGTGTTTATCCAGTTGTCATTCCAGCACCTGCTTTTGCAGCCCCTTGGAGGCAACCTTGACTATTTCAGATGGTTGCCCCAAATCTGCAGGTAAGAATTTTTAGCATTGATAGAAAATTTTAACTGGAAGGGATCAAGGGCTCTGAAAGGTTATCTAGGTCCAATATCTTTTCCTGATGGAACAACAAAGGTTCCTCAATTTGCTGCATTTAATGCCATAGTTACATCTAACAAGATAGTTCTAGATATTTACTGTAGTTTTATCTAGGTAAATATCTAGAACTGTTCTAGTACTCTTTGGGTGCCACTTGTCTTTATATTTGCATAGTAGCAAAACAGTTTTTCTTTAGAAATCCTGTCCCAATATTATAGGTCTTGAGCTCTGTTTCTGAACCTTTGCTGCTACTTTAACTTGTCTGCATTTTCTTTTGAAAACCACTCTGGAACTGTTTTCTTCTTCCTTTAATCAATTAAAGTTCACATTAAGTTAAATATGTCCATCAGCCTGTGTGGCACTTTGGGGAGCAGTTGCCTCTCCATGTTCTCCAGCATGCCCTGTATGATGGCTGCTCTGTTTTTTAGCAGGTGGGTAATATGAGATCTCCCTATATGCCTTTATTCTCCTTTTTGGGCTGTCCTTGCAATGCTTCCAGAGAGAATCATGCTGTTTTTGTACTGAATGAGTTTCTGCATTTCTGCTATGTCAAACATTGTACTGGATGCTCTGCATATACATTTATTTCCTTTGAGTCCTCCCAACAATTCTGTGGGGTGCAGGTGTTATATTAGCTCCATTTTAAGTATCAAAAAAATGAGGCCTGGTCAGGTTAGATAAGTTATTGAAGGTTATATAGCTAGTGAGTGGCAGAGTCAGGATTCAGTCTCAGGCCTGTCAGGTCCATGTTTTTCCACCACCCCAAGGGAACTCAGAAATTGATGTATTCAACCTCATCTAACAGAGGAGGAATTTTGGCTTATAATCTGTTTGTCAGAGACTCCCCATCGGCTGAATGGAAGAGTTGTTGCTGCTACTCAGGACCCCTTCCTTAGTCCTCTTATATTGTAATTTCTTGGAAAAGCCAAGAAAATAAGGAGATTAGAGTTGCAGTAGGCTCTGGAATAAGTCCTTCACCCTTGGCTTGTCTGCATTCTTCTCTTGTGTGTAAGGCTGAATTTTTGAGTATAGGCAAGGCAAACATAAAATACTAAGCAGCTGAGGTTGCTAACTGGCTGGTGTCTTTGTAAAGTATGTGTTGTCAGCAGCAATCATTTTGGGAAGCACAGAACTGTGTCATCTAGAATGTCTGGGCCTCAAGTTCATTGGTAATTACTCTCCTTCACTCTGCAGATCTGGTTTCAGAGGGAAACTTTATAAACCCATTAAAGGCACTTTGGTCCAGGTCTTCCTTGAAGACAGACTCTGGCTCTCCCAAATGTCACATCCTCACATAATTGAGACAGTTGGGTTGGGCCTTGGGGGCTGGGATGTCTGTTTTGTTCAACTCTAAATAGGGAAAAGGGATGAATGGTGAAGTGTAGGTAAATGTGGTTCTAAGTAAGGCAAAGACAGGGCTTAGGGTGGTTGGGGAGGAGGGATGGAGAAGAATGTTAGCTAGAGAGGTTTCCTCTTCTTAGAACAAGCTATTTATTGGGGGTCAAGTGAATGGGGACATGGCACTTTTATTATAATCTTTACAAATAAATTGTATCATCTCTGTCTAGACTATTTTTTTCCTTGAGACTGCTAATTATCAAGGAAGTTCATGGAGCTTTCCCTTAAACAATTAACATAGAATCTTACATACAGTAGGTTCTCAATATTTGAACGAATAAATATAATTATAATGGAGGACAAATTAGTGATAAGTTCAACTTCGGTTCTCTCTGATAACTGATGGCCATTGAAAGGCTTTGATGTCTATAATATTCACCAAGATATGAGGTCAAAATCATTTAATTAAGAAAGAAAGGTGCTGGCTAGTTAGCTCAATTGGTTAGAACATGGTATTATAACACTAAGGTCAAGGGTTCAGATCCCTTTACTAGCCAGCTGACCAAAAAAAGAAAAAAAAAACAACAAAGAAAAGAAGGAGAGAGAGATCTTGCTTTTATTGTATTTTGGTATCTACATTTTTGATATGTGAGAAATTTATCCATACTACTACTACTCAACCTTTTAAAACCTTATTGAGAATTTCTTATCCTATTAAAAAAAATACTTTTATTTTTGTGTCACTATTGAAAATATGAGATGATTATTCATATTTGATTAGTCTTTATTGAAATTTGACCAGTTTCCCTTGCCTCTCAACTGAGTGAATGTCATTAGGAATCAAGTTTAAAACAATAAAAAATGGGGAGAAAGTCCACAGTGTATCTGAAATATTTTAAAGGGAAACAAGGAATAGAACACAGAGGGGAGAGTAGCCTAGAGAAAGAATGACTCAAAAAACATTAATTTTTTCATTATAAATACAGTACAGTTATTGTTGAAAATTTAGAAAATAGAAAATAAAGTAAACTCACTTGCTTTCCCATCACACTGAGATGCTATTCTTAGAATCTTGAGGTGCTTCATCTCAGACTTCGTTTCTTTGCATACATGCAGTCTTAATAAAATTTAATCATACTCTGGTATTATATCATGATTTTCCCTAAACTTTAAAGTGTTCTTCTTATATTATTCAATAGTTTGAAAACATTCTTAATGGCTATTTTTCCTTCAGAGGATATACGAGTATCATGTCTTGTAAAATTTTTTTTGATACTTTCCTCCTCATCTAGCAGTGTGAGCTGTATGTAAAATGGTAGAGTAGCTAGTGGTGTGTTTTTTAATCCTTTGGCAGTCTCTCTCTACCCATGAATTTTTCTTCATAAAAATTGGCCAAAGAGTCAAGCTGGTGCTGACCAATTCATTTCTTTAGAGTGTACCTTTAAATGTTTTTCAGATCTTATAGGATGGTTGGAATATAAAGAAGGCCACTGTGAAGACGAGGCCTCAGGGGCAGTTTGTCATTCCCCCTCCACACCACAATTTAATTCCCTTGATGTCATTGCAGATGTGAATCCCAAGTACCAGTGTGATCTGGTGTCAAAAAACGGGAATGATGTATATCGCTATCCCAGTCCACTTCATGCCGTGGCCGTGCAGAGCCCCATGTTCCTCCTTTGTCTGACGGGCAACCCTCTGAGGGAAGAGGAGAGGCTTGGGAACCATGCCAGTGACACAGGCGTTGGATCTGAGCTAGATGGCATCAAAGCAGACAGTTCCTTACCATCTCCTAGCAGTCTGTGGTCTGCTTCCCATCCTTCATCCAGCAAGAAAATGGATGGCTACATTCTGAGCCTGGTCCAGAAAAAAACACACCCTGTAAGGACCAACAAACCAAGAACCAGTGTGAACGTGGACCCCACGAAGGGGCTTCTGAGGAACGGGAGCGTTTGTGTCAGAGCAACTGCCTGCGTCTCACAGAGCAATGGTGTGAGCCTTAAGAATTCGAAACAGGCGTGTTTGCCCTCTGGTGGAATACCCTCTTTGGACAATGGGATGTTCTCCCCATTGAAGCAGTGGTCCAAAGAATCAAAGGCCGAACAAGTGGAAAGTAAGAGGATGGCCCCGCCAGAGGGCTGCCCACCACCAGGTGCTGCCTCTGAACTTCAAAGCAAGCATCTGCCAAAAAATGCCAAGCCAGTCTCCCAAGAACTTGCTCGGTGTCCCACTGTGGGGACAGGGGAGTCCCTGAAAGAAAGCAGTCAGATCTCAGCTGCCTCTCCAAAAGAGAGCCCAGGCAGAGGCCCCGCCCCTCTGCAAGAGAACAAGGTTGTCCAGCCCCTGAAAAAGATGGCACAGAAAAGCAGCCTGCAGGGTGCCCCCCCGGCTGCCCCTCCTCCACTGCTGTCTCCAGCCTTCCCTGTGGAGGAGAGGCCTGCCTTGGATTTCAAAAGCGAGGGCTCTTCTTCCCAAAGCCTCGAGGATGGGCATCTGGTGAAGGCTCAGTTCATCCCGGCGCAGCAGCCGGGCGCCAGGCTCCACCGGGGCCACCGGAACGCGGGCGGCCCGAAGAGCTCCAGCCTGAAGCCGCGCGGCCAGGCCCTCCAGGGGCTGGAGAACGGCTTGCCCACCGTCAGGGAGAAGACGCGGGCCGGCAGCAAGAAGTGTCGCTTCCCGGAGGACGTGGATACAAATAAGAAACTCAAGAAAGCCTCTGCCAAGGGGAGGAAGAGCGGGGGCGGGCTGCCCGAGGCGGGGCTGCCCGGCAGGCCCCTGGGCGGCGGCCACAGGGCGGGGCACAAGGCGCACGGCCGCGACGTGGTGGTGGCCAAACCCAAGCACAAGCGAACCGACTACCGGCGCTGGAAGTCCTCGGCCGAGATGTCCTACGAAGAGGCCCTGCGGAGGGCCCGCAGGGCGCGCAGGGAGCACATGGCCGTGTACCCCGCGGCCATGCACCCCGTGGCCGTGCGGCTGCCCTACGCCAGCCCCTACGCCTACGTGGCCAGCGAATCCGAGTACTCGGCCGAGTGCGAGTCCCTCTTCCACTCCACCGTGGTGGACACCAGCGAGGACGAGCAGAGCAGCTACACCACCAACTGCTTCGGCGACAGCGAGTCCAGCGTGAGCGACGCCGAGTTCGCGGGGGACAGCACCACCTCCAGCGACTCGGAGGAGAGCGGGGGCTTCCTGTGGTCCCAGTTTGTCCAGACTCTCCCAGTGCAGACGGTCACCGCCCCAGACCGTCACGGCCACCCCACAAAAACCTTCGTCAAAATTAAGGCTTCACATAACCTCAAGAAGAAAATCCTCCGCTTTCGGTCTGGCTCTTTGAAACTGATGACGACCGTTTGAGCAGCGTCATTGGTCGTGGAAAGTGTGTACGCCTCCCCCACCCTCCAGGTACCGACGTTTTTTAAAAAGGTGGCGTCTTAATTTTTGTGTAATACTTTCATGGAATGCTCTTTCTTTAAAAAAAAAAAAAAGTAATGTGAAACCGAGGTAAATTAGGTCTTATCTTCATGTATGGACACTAGTGCCTTTAATGGAAGGTAAAGAATGTTTTGCTAATTAGAAGTAAATATTGAGGTTTTGATGGTGGTGATAACGGTAGGGAATGAGTTTTGCGGTATCAGCTGATTTTTATTTTAAATTTTCTTCGCATCTGGCAAGGTACAGGTTTTGATATTCAAGTTTTATCGGGATGAGATCTTCTATCCCAAGGTCGGGTGGATGGAACTTTAGGACATATATTTTCTCCTTGATTCTTTAGGGCAGTGTCTTCACGAGGATTTTCCTGTTGAGAGGTATTTTATATAATTGCATGAAGTAGGTACGAGGGGACAGTCATTGTTTTCTGTAACTTTTTATATAGTTTACATTTCTCAGATGTATCCCCATTCTGTTTTCTTCTTGGAACTGTTCTGTTTCCTGGACTCAGAACTTGTAGACCAGACCCTAAATCCAGAGATGGCAACCTGGATACGGAGGCTGGTGATACCTTAAAAAAATTCATGAAAACTTCTGCCACACTTGGTGCCTATTCCCTGGTTACAGTAACCCCTTGTAGGTTTATCCAACATTTTGATGCCTTCCTTCCCCTCCCGAATTTGTGTACGATGCAACCATTTGTCCCTTGGAGGACTTGCCTTTGGATAAAATTTTGGTCCTTGGGTACGGAGAAGTTCACTTTTAATAGAATAACCCTTGGGGCATGACTCCAAGCCCAGAATTGCTCATTGAGCACTGTGCCACGTAAACATATTAGTGCAATCCAGTCCAGATTGGACAACTGATCCTATCTGAAAGGGCTTTTTTTTAGAAAAGATTTTTTTTGGTGAAAAGTGTTGTGTAAAATTGCTTTCTTTTATACCAATATATGCATGTTTTGTGCATGAGTAGTATTTGTTTTGATATTCCTGTTGATGTTAAATTACTGTATGATATAAACAGTATGTGTTTTTATATATCATTGTGTAAATTTAATATAACACATTATATACTGTAATAAACGATTTGTTTTACTGCTGTTCAATTTGTTATTTGGGTATAAAACCAGATGTTTACACCTATACATTTTGTGCTGATTGTTGGTGTTATTTGTAAGATTTATATTAGATCTATTCTAGCATTCTAATATTATTTGCAATAATTAAGGCAGGTTTTAGTATTCTTGGAATGGATGATGAGCAAGCAAATGAGGAAAAGCCAAGCACTTCTTTAGTGTTGTAAAGTACTTTAAAATTTAAGGTAAATTTCATAGAATTCTACCCACCTCCAGCATTTCATTATAAAAAATTTCAAACATATGGAAAAGTTGAAAAGATAGTACAATATATACCCTGTGTAGCCACCACCTAGATTAAATAATTACTAACATTTTGCCATGCTTGCTTTTACTCTGTATTTGTATCTATTAAGTTAAGCCATATTGCTGGTTTTGTAGGTCAAAGACAGACAGTGGCAATCCTTCCCTCTCTCTACCATACACTTATACACTATTTTATTTTTATTTTCCTAAATTGAAACAATTGTTTGTACATATCTGTGGGGTACAGCATTGAATATGAATACCTGTGCAATATGTGATGCCCTATACACTATTTTAAGGTAAATTTCAGGTATCATGATATTTTATCTCTAAAAACTTAAGCATGTGTATCCTAAAAACAAGCAGATGCTCCTGTGTAGCCATGATGCCATGATATCATGATCACACCTAAGGAAAATTAATGGCTACTTATAATCAAATATTTAACATATATTCACATGTTCCAATTTGTTTCAAAAATTTTTTTTTTTTTTTTTTTTTTTTGTCTTTTTTCCGTGTCCGGCAATGGATCGCAACCCTCAGTGTTGCCCCCGTACCGGACCGGGGACCGGCAACGGGATCGCAACCCTCGGCGCTGCTCCCGCGCCTCGCTCAGCCAGTGAGCGGGAACCGGTCCGTATGTGGGATCCGAACCCTCGGGCGGGAGCGCCGCCGCGCTTCCCAAGCGGCGCACTATCCAGTGCGCCACCGGGCCGGCCCCCCAAATTTTTTAATAGCAGGTTTCTGCTCCCCTCCCATCGCTCACCCCTCCCCAATCCAGGGTTCAGTCAATGTGTACTGCGTTTGGTTGTAGGTTGTAGGTCTCTAGTCTTTTCAGTCTAGGATTCCCACATTAAAACAACAGCCACAACATCAACAACAAAAGATACTGGCTTTTTAGTGAGTCAGGACAGTTGTCTTGCACAAAGACCTACATTCTGGATTTGGCTGTTTCTTTATGTTGTCTTTTAACATCTTTTTCCCATAGACTGTGTGAGGCTTGTTTGGATTCAGGCTAAACATACTTGGCAAAGAGATTTCGCTAGTGATGTTGTGTACTTTTATTGCATCACATCAATAAACAATATCAGGTTGCCTCACAATTACTGAATTTAAGAGCAATCCCTTGGCTAAATTGGTGAGCATAGATTTCTCCATTATAAAGGCATGTTTTCTTTCAAATGGTTAGTATTGGTGGGTGATTCTTTGGTACTATGTGGATATCCTGTCCCTCAACCAATTCCACTTAATGGCTTTTGCTGATAATTGCTGATACTTGCTTGAATCAGTTATAGCCGTGGGGATGCAAAATGGTAGTTTTCTAAATATATTTCCTTCTACTTTTATTAGCTGACATTCTTTAAAAAAAAAAAAAAAAAACAACCTTGTTTTTTTCCCCCCTTTCTCTTTGAGTATCCCTATAGACACATGGATGTTTATTTACTTGATATTTTACAATCACTTACCGTTCTTTGTTCTTTTTGATGCTCAACACATTCCAAATTTGGCCAGTGGGAGGATAGGTTTTGTTAAAGGAAGTTGTAGAATCAGCTCAGTCTCATAATTTAGATATTTAATTTAAGTTTTCAAATGCTGAATTTCAGATGCTAAATTTTAATGCAACAAAAATCCCTTAACCATTTTTTGATTCTGTCTTGAAAATGTTCTTTTTTCTTATATTTTATATACTTCTTATCTCTAGCAACACTTTTATCTTTGGAACATAGCAAATTATTTCTCCATGGCTTATAAAGGTCACATGTTTTAGTAAAGACATCTTTTTTTTCAACAAGACATCTTTTTTTTTTTTTTCCCTTTTTGTCTTTTTTTACTGACCAGTAATGGGATCGCAACCCTCGATGTTGTGCCCGCACCACGCTCAGCCAGTGAGCGGGAACCGGTCTCCACATGGGATCCGAACCCTCGGCGGGAGCACCGCCGCGCTCCCAAGCGGCGCGCTCTCCAGTGCGCCACCGGGCCGGCCCAACAAGACATCTTTTTCACAAGACATCTCAGATAACTCAGTTCTTCAGAATGTTGTAGAATTGCTAGTCTTTAAGTATTCATATGTTTTTATATGCAACAAGTCATTCTGCTTTGATTAGAATTTCTTTGATTACCTGACTCAATCTAAGCCAAGCACAAGTGAAGGGATGATCTCATCATCTTTTCTAACTCTGTGATCTGATCTCTTGGGGACATGGCTATGAAGTTTATTTTGTAGGGCAACTGTGATCTGAAGTCATTTCTTGAATCATTTCCAAGTTGTTCTCAATAAACATTATTCTCGGAAGGGGACACTTTCTGAAAACCAGCTTTTGAGTAATTATGTTTTAGGTGACAATGCCAAACTAAGAGAAGCGTGAAAAACAGGATTTCCGAAGAACCCTGGGTTTGTCCTCCTGATCCATTGCTTGACTTCCCTGTAGCTAGCTGTTGTACTGCCCTTGGAAAATTGTTTTTTGTCTATTATTTTTAATGACAATGTAGATGCTATTGTTACAAAAAAAAGAGCTCTTTAAAATATTTTACATTATATTTCAAAGTTACAAATGCTGATTGTGAAAAGAAAAATATGTCTGAACAATGCACAAACTTTAAAAACTCTTTTCCCTCAATCCTCCCCAAATCCTACTCTTCAGCAAGTTTTGTGTGTATATTTTCATACTGTTATATGTACATACAAATATACAACCTTCATACTTTTTCTTCAAAATGAAGCCTCAATCTATATGTATGATTCTATATCTCACATCCTTCATTTCATGAACCTGTGTGACAGATATCATTTCTAATTTTTTTTAGTGGGGTTCCAAGTATTTCCTCACTTAGGAAAAAGATGCCAGTTTTTATAAGCCACTTGAGTTTGATAGATTTTTATTAGAGCTTCTGATTTTTATTAGAAAAACCCTAGTACTTATCAACAGAATGTTACCAAGTATTATACATTTGCACACATTACCTTTCTAGTTTTCTCATGTATTTTGTTATTTTGTATCATGAGCACACTTTCAGTGGGGTATTATTGAAGGAATCCTGAGAGGCTTGGTTAAGGATTTTGCCAGAGAAGTTTTGTGTTTTTTCTGCCAGGTGCCTCAGGGATATTTCCAGGCCAGATAAGTTTTTAAATTAATTTATCTACTTTGGGGTACCTGACTAAAGAGGTAGTACAAATTTAAATCCTAAATACGTATGAGGATAGGCTGTGTTTATGTATTTTCAGAGGAGATCTTTCCCAAGGCAGACAAACTTCCTCATTTTCATCGTGGGCCAGCAAGTGAGTTTTTTTCCTGTTCCAACCTTTTACTAAGGGTAACCTGCCAGTGATCTCAGGAATATGAGAAAGTCTCAGTCCCACATCCTACCCTGTGAGGGCCAATTCCTTGTCCCTGAGTAACTGTCAAAACTAATGCCCCTTACTTAAGGGACCAGCAACATCTCCTACTCTCCAAGGGTAGCCCAAGATATGAATTTCAGAGAATGTTTATTAATAGTTTATCCATCATTTCTAAATGCTTCACAGTGAGAAGATCAGGTTTTTAAGTTCACCATATGGCTGGAAGGAGAAACCATCGGGCCACACATTGCTTTTGGCAATAAGTTAGATTCTGTGCCCCCGCCCCTGCTTTTGGTACAACTTTATTGCGGTACAACTTGAAGTACAATGAAATGCACATATATAAAGTGTACAGTTTGACCAATTCTGACATATGTATAAGCCTATGTAATCACCACAACCAATATAACAAACATTTTCATCACTCTTGGTATTTCCCTTGAGAGCCTTTGTAATCGATCTCTTCCTCTACCCCTGTCCGCAGGCAGCCAGGGATCTGCTTTCTGTCACAATACAGTACTTTGTATTTTCTAGAATTCTGTATAAATGGAATTAAGCAGCGTTTCCTCTTTTTTACCTGAATTTTTCATTCAGCATAATGATTTCCAGATCCATCATGTTGTTTAATATATCAATAGTTTATCTCTCTCTATTGCTGAATTGTATTTCTTTCTACAGTTACAAAACAATTTGTTAAACCCTTTTCTTGTTGATGGAAATTTGGGTTATTTTCAGTTTGGGTCTATTAAAAATAAAGCTGCGATGAACATTCATGCACAGGTCTTTGAATGGTCAGGTGTCTTTGTCTTGGGTAAATACTTAGGAATGGAATGCCTGGGTCATATCATAGGTGTATGTTTAACTTTTTGAGAGACTGCAAAAATGTTTTCCAAATTGGTTGTACCATTTTATGTTCCCACCAGAGTGTATGAGAATTTCAGTTGCTCCACATCCTTCGTCAACTCTTGGTATGCTTAGTCATTTTCATTTTAGCTAATCTAATGGATGTATAGTCGTATCTCCCGGTTTTAATTTGCATTTCCCTGATGACTAATGATGTTGAGCATCTTTTCATGTACTTATTGGCCATCTGTATATCTTTGTTGAAGTCTCCGTTCGAATATTTTGTCCATTTTAAAAAATTGGGTTGTTTGGCTTCTTATTGTTAAGTTGTAAAAGTTCTTTCTAAATTTTCTTATGTGTTGTGAATATTTTCTCCCAGTCTGTGGCTTGCCTTTTACTTTCTTAGTGGTGCCTTATGAAGAACAAAAGTTTTAAATTTTGTTCAAGTCCAATTTTCTATATTTTCTTTTATGGTTAGTTGGTCTAGCACTATTGCTAAAATGATATTCCCTTCTGTGTTGCCACCTTTGTTACAAAACCAATTGACAATATTTATCGGGGTCTGTTTCTGGATTCTATTC